AAATATTAAACTAGCAATTAATTTTATATAATATCTTCTATAAAGTAGAAAATCCAAATTGTATTTTTAAATTACATAGTATTCATATCGATTATACTATAGTCGGATCAACTGGAGTGGTGGACCAGCCAAGGGCGAGGAGAGGGGTTCTACTGTATAGTGATATGACAGGCTTACAGATGGTAGACTCAGCACTCAGAAGGGGTAACAAATGGGTGTTGCTTGACCGCTATCTGATAAAAATTAATTGCTGCCAAGTGCTAAGAATGTTTCTTAAGTTAAACAGAATATAATAGATAATTAAAAGATCATATAAACATACTTGACACCAGCAACCTCTTTTTTTTTTGAAACTTTTTCAACTTTTTCAATTTTTTTTTCAACTCTAGGAACAATATCAGGGAAAGGATTATTTAGTACTATAGTTTTTAGTATTTTTTGATCATAAACTGGTTTATCTTCCTAAAAATCAAATGTTTTAGATCAATAAATAATATAAAAAGGTAATAAATAAAAGTTTTAATACCGTATCCACAAGAGTTTCATTTAATTTGGTTAAATTAAAGATAGTGTCACCAGCAACTTTTCCAAATATTGTATGTTTGGATTGAAGTTCTGGAGTAGATCCTAATGTGAAAAAGAACTGAGATCCATTATCATCTTTTCCGGCATTTGCCATAGCCACCAAACCACGTCGATTAAACCGAAGACGTGAATGGATTTCATCCTAAAAATAAATTTTTTTAACTTTTGTAAAATAGAGAATATACATAATTAAATAAAGTAAAATTATTACTTTAAATGGATGGCCATAAATTGATTCACCACCTGCTCCAGTTGCAGTTGGATCACCACCTTGAGCTATAAATCCTTTGACAATACGATGAAACAAAACTCCATCATAATATCCTTCAATACATAACTGAACAAAATTTCTACAAGCTTTTGGTGCTTCTCTTGACCATAATTCAATTTCAATATCGCCAAATGAAGTTTTGAGTACAACCTTTAAGCAATATATTTAAATAACATTATTAATAATATTTCATAATTTTTTTATTTATTTCTTTAAACAACTTTCTCGTAATTATTTATATTTCTGTTTAAATATTATTCTCTAACTTCATTACAATGCTTCAGTTTTTAGGAAAATAATACAAATACATTTAAAGAAAAGTATTCAAACATTAGGACTCATAGGAGACATAATTAATATTTAATAACTGTAAATAAAATAAAATTAATAAAAACCTTAGTCCACAGTATAATTATTAAAATAAATACATAAGATTAAAAAAATAACAATACTTACTTTGCCAGAAGTAGGCGGTTCTTGTATATAAATATTACTCATTTTATAAACTTCAAAGGATTATTGAGATATTATCAAACAAGTTAAAATAAAATTAACTTAATTTAATGAAATATTAATATTCTGCAACGATAAATTTTTTTTTTTTGTGATTTTCTAACTCAATTAAACATTATATTAGCCACAACTTCATGGCCTAGGCTTTTTAATTATAACACAAGATATAGATATTTAAATATTAAGAATAAAAATAATACATTCTATGTTTAACAGTAAATTTTATCATTAACAATTAATATTATCTGAATAATAATAATTTTATTTGAACATCTAATATTACTTTTTAACAGAAACTATTATATAAGCAATAATACAGTAATATCTTATAGAATGCTAGATAAAATTTGCCATTTGGAATTTGAAAGTATAATTTACTTTTAGTACAATAAGATGTCTGACGTCTTGAAGACAGTTTTTATGGTTTTAGAGGATTTATTTTTCAAATGTAAAATGTTTAAACTATTATCAACATCAAAATATGTATCAGTACAGAATAGTTATCTAAAAAAGTTTTTACCGTAGTGATAACAATTTTTTAATACATAAAATATCAAAAATTGAGTCAATAATTTTAGAACAACTTTTTATTTTTATAGCACGTTAGTATAATCAATTTTTTTACTGTGATAGTATGACGCCCTACTAAAATTTTAAACCATGATCCGTTATTATCCACAAACAGTATCCACAGCACAGACAAGACAATCAAATATCAAATAATGGTCTTAAATCTTAATTCTTAAATCTTAATCATCTTTATCATTTTTAATTTTAACGCCATCAAACATATACTGCCACGCCATCTGGGGATAAATTGGTAGAACTAGAAGTTTATCTAAATAGTAAATACTCTTGTGATAAAATATTATAAATTTTATAATTGATTAATAATAATAGTTTAAAAACGTGCAATTGCCAATTAGTATTGAGTATTCATTATTTACCATTTAATTAGATAGAAGTGATAGAACCATAATAAAAGTAATCAAAACTAAAATTATAAGAAAATTAAACTTTTTAATATTTTAACTATAACTCTTAACTTTACGACCTACGTTAATAATTGTGTTTTAAAGGGTGTTAAATTTTCAGACTTACAAAATGGCAGCTGAAGAATTACAGAAACAGTTCCAACATGAACTGGATGCATTTAAACAATGTCAAAAAGAAATTAATCAATTAGCTGGAATGCGCCAACAATTGGATGGTCAACTTAATGAAAACTCAATCGTAAAAGAAGAGTTAGCTCTATTAAAACCTTCAGGTGAAGTATATAAAATGGTTGGTCCTATATTACTACGTCAAGATCACACAGAAGCTAAAGAAAATATTGACAAACGTATGAGTTATATAAAAAATGAACTGCAAAGAATTGATGATCGGATACATACATTAGAAGGTACACAAGACCAATATAGGGAATCTCTTACTAAATTACAACAACAGTTTCAAGCTCAACAAGAAAAAAAGTGATTTATCATTTCAAATCAAAGATGAAAAATTATACTACTAACTATTTAATGTGTCAAATTCATTAAACTATTAATAATTCTATAATAATATCACTAATTATTTAATAAAATGTAATCAATATATCTATAAACCTAAGAACATTGCTTATTTATTTACTAGTAAAAAGTAAATATTTGTTCCATGCTAATTTTTTATTTCAGGTATAAAATGTATATTAAATATAATGATATTTATCAATCATTTTATTCTCTAAGATTCTCATCTTTTGAAATTTCAATTTTTACTATGAAATGATTTATAAATATTGTTTTATGGGATTTAAGTCATTTACATGTAATTTCACACATATTTAGATTAATATTTTTTGATTAAAATATGAAATAATACATGATTAATGTATTAGGTTTAGTTAACCACTGAACCGATTTAATGCTGGTTATATATTTTAAGGATATTTTATATCATACTTGAACAATACATTTTGTTTAATTGAAATTGACTTACATTTAGTATTAACTATTTTTTGATTTCAGAATAAATTAAAAGTATATAATGTAACAGCTAAAAGTTTGTATTATTTAGGAACTCCTTAAATATTAATTAGTACTACAGTATTTCACGAGATAAATTAATATTTCAAATATTCTATTTATTAATTACAAATGACCAATCTCAATTCAAAGCAATTGATATAATAATTTAATGTTGGTTTATAGATAGTAAGAAATATAAATTAGCTAGTAACAAGTATTTTCAATGTTATTTTCCTTTAAAATCAGAACTATATTTTTACTTTTTAGGCTGGGAAACAAAGTAACTCGGCATTCTTTTATTTTTCAAGCTTTAATTAAAAAATATAAAAGTTAAAATAAGTAAAAGAAAAACCGATATTATTATTTTTATATAATGAAGTAGGTAATG